TGGGTCTAGCTACACCACCAGAGGCCACGTGACCTCTGTGGGTCATTTCACCTCTGAGGCTCATTCTCTGGAGCCACTCAGGCCCCTGGCCACGGCCAGCAGCAGCCCCTGCTGCCCTCCCAGCCTCCCCTCCCTGAGTGGGACTCCCTGCACCCATGGGACCCCAGCCCCAGACAGACTCGCCCCCCTGGGCCTGTGTCAGGCCAAGCAGCTTTTGTGATCAAATATTGTTATATTTACCTAAGGATCTGTTAGGAAGCAATTTTTGAGATGATGAATATTTAATGAAATATTTAAATATTTAATAGGAACTTTCTCCAACCTGACTTAATAATCCGTGTCACGGGGAAAGGAAGGTGGGGGTCGGGTTCTAACATTCTCCCTTCCTCTAGCACCTCAGTGTTTGCTAGACTTTTTTCCCCCACAGCAGAGTTTTAATTATACTCAATATTCCAGAGAGAAATTCTTTTCTCATTAAAACTTAACTCTTGCCGACAGCAAGGTGAGCGGGCGGGTGTGAGATGCCGTGATGCACGGAGCTGGGGGCTGACTGGAGCCGGAAGGGGCGGCTGGGACTGTCCACCGGCCAGTGGAGGCCTTTGTGCACTGGGCAGTGAAGGAAGGCCCTGGCACCGGGACTTTGGCCTCCTCCACGGGCTCCCTAGGAGTCCATGGCCACGCCCAGACGGGACTCGGGTCTGTGGACTTGCAGACTCCGGGCGCCCCTCCTCACATCATCTGCACCCCTGAATATGCAGGGGTCAAGGTGGACATCGGGTGCCGTCTCCCAGCTGTGGTCCCCGACTCTGGGGCTAACAGTGGCTGCAGCAAATTGAGATTCTCATCCCACAGACCTTGAAAGACTGGGTGCCAGAGTCTCTGAACACGAGGGTGGGAGTGATGGAAGGTCAAGCCACACCGTTCCTGCCCCGTGTCCCCCTTCTCTCTGGTTCCCCCAGTGTCAGGCAGCCTGTACCCCCCAGCCCCAGGCTCAACTGAGTCTTTCCACTCTGCATGGGGTCCCAGGCTGACCCCCACCAGGCCCAGGTCACTGGGGCCATGTGCCCTGGCTGGGCACTTGCATCTGCCACCAGCTCCCAGAGCCCCTGTGGACAGTGGGCATTCCTGGCTGACCCCCCTTCCGACGTGACTCATGTCCAGCTCCACGAGCTCTCCCTTCCTCATCGGCCCTGCCACCCCCTCAGCTCTCAGGGGCCTCCTCAGAGCAGCTGGCTTCTTCATCCACCTCTGCGTGGATATTCCAGAAGGTTCTGTCTCTTTCCCCTGTGGTCCTCAGCCCTTTTTGGACTCACTTGCTGCAGCTTCCCTCATGCCGGCCTGCCACACCGAGCTCCCCACATTCCTAGTGGATCGCGAGGCCGTCAACGCCAGCCCAGAGGCATCTCCTGCAGGAGGGGGACCTCCCACCTCCCCTGATGCACAGGTGCGGAGGGGGCGGCTGGAACCTGCCTTTCCTGCAGCAAGGTGGGCTCTTCCACTCTGCCCCCGCCCCCGGTAGGCTGCACACTAATGAGGGGATAGGAATGTGTCACCCCATTTCTCTATTCTCAAGCCCTTTGTGGCTTCCGGCATACAGTAGGCACTCAGCTGAATGAATCCCTGAATGAGTTGCAGGCTTTTACAACTCTTTGAACCTACTTTTCTTGGATTGGGGGGTTTGGGGAAGCCTGTGTCTATGCTAAGTGACCTTGTTCCCATGCTCCAGGGAGCTGCTCCACTGCACAACTGACCTAACCTGAGCCATCCCACCCAACCCTGGCACCTCTAACCCTTCCTTGGAGCCCCACCAGCCCCTCTCACCATCCTGGTAGGCCACAGCCCTCCCGTCTCAGCCTTCACTCCCTGTCCCTCCCTAGGCAGGAGCCCCTCAGGGCAGAACCTGGGCCTGCCTGGCACTCCGGCTTCCGTGGCCCAGCCAGTGCCCAGGGGTAAGGGAAGTGGCAGGCAGCCCAGGGCTGGGCAAGGCACTGGGTGGCAATGGACTGCAGCCCTACCTGCCTCCTCCTGGTACCCAAGTCCTGCTCAGGCTGGTGCTGGCTTGTCATCCTGTGGGAGCCTCTGTGGCTGCAGGGACCTAGGCTGAGCTTCCAGGTGCCTGGGCGCCCTGGAGCGCTGGGCACAGAGTAGGTCCTCAACAGCTACTCAAGGTGATCTGGGGTCCCAGGGCAGAAGATTTCTTTGGCTGGGATGCTGGGAATGGCCCAGAGGCCACACTCCAGAGGAAGGACATGACAGATGACGAGCTGACATTTTTAAGATGGTAACTCTTTTAATAAGGAGTCTTTAAATATTTAGCAAACCAGTGGAAGAGGCCAATTCAACCACGAGTGATAGTTTTAATCTCACTGAGCACCAGCGGGTTTCCTCCCAGTGAGGGAATCCAGCTTCCCCCCACTCCCAACCCCGTCCCCCGCCTCCACAAATGGGCAGTTTGGGAGGCCTGAAGGAGGCTGGGCCTGCAGAGCGGCCGACTGATGGCTGCGTCTGAGCCCAGCGAGACGGAGCATGCAGTTTCCTGGTTTTTGTGTCCAGGCAGCGGTGTGGGTGGGAGGCCGGGCCTCTTCCTTCTGGCCTACTTAGTGAGGATCCCCCCCAACGCTGCCCCGTAGAGGTGAGTTAAGACCCGCACAGGATGTCAGGAGGTAGAAATCAGTGGAAAACCGGGTGCAGAGACCTAAGAAACCCCTTTCCCTTTTCCCGACTCCCACATCCACAAAACCCAGCTCTGGCGTCGGCCCACCCAGAAAAGGCGCCCACCCTCTGCTCTGGGCTCCCCTCCGCTCTGGCACTAACCCAGTGCATTGTAGAGGCCGCCTGCTCTGCAGGGCTGGCAGGTAGCTTTGACCTGGGCGGGGAAGCAGTACCCTGGAGCCAGGAGCCACAGTTCTGACAGAGGCCAAGGAATCAGCCAGTGTCCCAGGGTGGGAGCCCAGGCAGGAAGAAGCGTGTGACGACCAGGGACAGAAAGGACATCCATGCAGCTGGATGGCCACAAGAGCATGTGGCACCCTGGGAGGCTGGGATGGTGGCACTTCCCAGTCCTTTAGTCTCAGTGTCTGTCTTCCCCACGAGGACACTGCCCTGGGGGCAGGCACGGCACTCTTGCTTGCAAATCTCTAAATGCCAGATTAGTATTGGCATACAGCAGGTGCTCAATAAGTATCTATAGAATAGATTTAAGTGCCTCATAGGCATGGCATCATGAAATCTGAACGACAGCCCAGTGTGACAGGTGTCACTGACATCCCCTTCCTGGGAGGCTGAGAGTCTTAGCCGAGCAATCCGTGGGCCCGGGCGGATCCGACCCCAAGCCTGCATCCTCAGTGGGGCGCAGCTTAGAGGGCAAACTGCTGGCATCTGCGTGCAGGGAGACTCGTTCCCCACCCTTTTGGCCCCCAGAGCTGCTGCGACCACCTGCGGGCACAGAGCCCGGCCATTGGCACGCAGCCTGTGGCCTCCGCCCCGGCTCGGCCACTGCTCAGCTGTGCACACTCCCTTATCAAGAGGGGCCACTTTAACCTCCGTCTCATTTGTCTTTAGGGAATCCAGCCCCAGGCTGCCCGCAGCGAAAGC